GGTTTTTGGGCACTTCTCACATTGTACATTCGCTAAATAACCTAAAAGCATGAAAAAAAATTTGTTTACATTAGGCATATTTTTCCGTACATTCCCATCTTTTCACAGCTGTTTTAACGTGTGTTCACAGTTCCACAGTTCAAAATTGCTTGCGTTCACCCGCTGTGCAATATTGCCCAATAGGCCACGCCCCATAGCTCCTCGCTGAGAGGTTATATACGCTTCGTAACGTGGATAATTCTGCCATCTATTGGCCCTCACCTCCTCTATGTCCCTTGAAAAAACGGTCAACATCAAAATTCTTACTGCACTGCCGCCAATCGTCGTCATTTATACGACCAAAGAAGAGTTTTACACCGAGCTGTTGAAAAAAATCCAAGACTTGCAAGTTCCGCTGGGCAAGATCTGCTGGTCTGACTCTCAAGGTAATGAGAGTGTTATCAACTCGGCTGATGATCTCATCACTGCTTTCAACAAAATCGCGCAGATTGAGCTGTTTATGGATCTGCCCGGTGGGAGCGATTCCAAAGCGGACTCTGAATTTGAAGTGATTGAAAGAGACGAGGAAATTGCACTGGCAGAATCGACGAAAACTCCTAGTCCTGCGCAATCACCATCACAAGCCATACCTGAAATCCCTGAAAGACCGCTGATTGCGGAAAAGTCCACAAATCGCGCAGCCCATCGCCGATCTTCGAACTATTCGAAATCGCAACGGAGATCGTCCAGCAAACATTGCGCCTGTAACCAGTACTGGCCATGGAGTGATGCGATAAATCCATATTCTTGGTCTTCAAATGATTCGTCGGACGACAGAGGACATTACTTACAACACAGATGTAGATCTCAGTGTTGTTGTCGTTGTTATTGTTATGGGAATTATGATTATTGAAAGAATTTTTTTTCACTGCCTTTCTCTATAAACTGATATCTGCAGGGTCCATTGTTTTGAAATTCTGTTGCAATAAAATTATTTGTTATCTAGCCGTCACATCAGATTAATAAAATATGAGGTGAAGAAACAAGTTGTCAGGCGACGGATGGATGTGTTAATAAGAAGCTAGATATCTTTGTTTGTTTTTTGATGGGTGTTACTCAATTCAATGCAGACCCGAAATTTGAAAGTAAGTCATCTGGAAAGATGTTCTACGAAATTAAAAGCAATTTTGCATTCTTTCTAATATTTAGAACTCTTGAAAAAGTGGAGGGATATGATAAGTCATGAAGTGCGTCGTGGACGACGTTCGTGACGTCCAGTCATTGGCTTATTGGTTTTTTTT